CCAAAGTGGATTCCATGTAGAACGACGCTTCGGTTGGGATTGCCATGGTTTGCCAGTGGTACATGATAGATAATAGTTTATTTAAACGGTGTTCGTTTTCAGTTCAAAGGGTAAACCAGGCGAATGTAACATTATATATGATATTTACAAGTTTAAAATCGGATATCACGTGCCGGTGAAAGTGCAGCAAACTAATAATCGGTCGGATAGTGATGCAGCGATATTCAGGTTTTATCGATCAGATTCCAGTTACAAATCGAAAATTAAGGTTTGGTTGCCTTCAATACTTGACAAAAACATGGCACAATTTTTTTTGGTTTCATGCAAATAAGGCAGAGATTGAATTGCTGTGTTTCTAAAATTTGATGGCTTTATGAAAGTCTTTCGGAATAATACTTAAAGCAGAATAGCAAATACCACTTCAAATAATCGTTAGCACTAAATACTTTATTTACCGTGTTTGAATGGACATTTTTCGTAGTTTGCACAATTGTGTGATACAGAAACACAAATATGCAATAGGTGATTTCGAAAATATTTCGATTCTGTGTTATTTTCAATATATGTTAGCGATTGGTTAAAGTCAACCCTGAAGGCCGAGGTTATAGTCCATCTTATTGTCAAGATGTTTGATCTAAGGATGGCCAATCATTGCCAGTAACTTAAAGCGGTGTCTTTATTGCGTAACGTTTTGTGCTTAGCCGTCGAATCGTCAAAACGTTGAACATACGATATTTCTAAATTTATATATTAACAAGCAAATTAGATTTTGCCTCATGTTGCTTAGGGTGGGTTATTGTATTTTAAAGTTATCTTTGTTCGATGCAACAGATGGTGCCATTTTTGCCCATATACTGCAGGTGCTAAAATTAATCCGTGGCCTGCTTAAACGGCCATCTGGGTACTAGAAGGAAGGGGACAATGTGACTACGTCGTGCGAATTCAGAGGAGTGACAAAACAACGTTGTTTTATTCAACTCGAAACTCTGAATTCTACATTTCAACAATGCTGCTGTTCATTTTATTCTAACCATTTGATATTTGCATCCTCCCATGTGGTATATCTGGGAGAATGGTTATTTGAGTAAGAAACCTGACCCGCCATTTCTCACATTATTCATTGTGTGATTTTCCTGATTTGTCTAAAGTATCATTTTCAGTAATGAGGGCTGACGATCTTTGTTATATGCAATCTCACGACTGCACTGCGCGTAAATAATCTGGTTCACTTCTGGGCGTCATTTATGCAGCAGGTGTTTAATTATTCTTTCATTGCACGAGTCTATCCTCTTGTCATATGACGATGTTCAAGAAATCTTAAGAGAATAACAATTTCCTCTTTTCTCTGTTGCCAGTCTTGCGTACAGCCGTTTGTCTGTCTGTCTGATTCTGCATGAAATTGACATGAACGAACTGCTGATAGCACCACGTTTTAAGGGCATCAGCCCTTGTGATCTCTCCGGTCTGTAAAATCCAAAATCTTCGAAATTTCAGATTCACTTAGTGTGTACGTAGATCGTTGATTGTCTCGAAATTTAAATGTTATTATTATTCGTTAAAAATTTGAGGAGTTTTGTTCCAGCAATACGTGTCACAAAAAAGACACCATTTATCATTTGCTTTTTTTGTGCCTCAGCTTGTAAATCACTGATCAAAAAAGAATAAAGAAGAGTTGCACAAGTGGTTTCAGAAATTCATTCATTAATTCCTGTCTTTTGAATATCGACACTGGATACCAGTTTTGTATTGTTTGCGGTACAGTAGCAAAATCTGTTAAGGGCTGAGTGAAGAGTTAAAAGTATTTCGATATGAATTTTGGCCTAGGCGGGCATTTATCTATCATGGTTCTGGTGTAAATAAGGAAACACTAAAATTAATGTGGGCTAGTAAAGTGGGAACCACATGCACTGCTGTATTGTTAGGTAAACATATTGTTATGAGTGGCATGTCACACGAAACTAAAAGTATCCCAAACGGAACATTACTAACTATTCGATGTCTCTCTTCTTTACATGTTGAATGTGATTTGTAGCACTGTTTTCACTGAGCTTAGAATGCCATGCGGTGCTCTATTCGATTTCTTTTTCAGTATTCAGGGATTGTCCCAATTTTTGAAGCCA